GTCCACAGCTGAGCGTCCTTTCGGCTTTACTGTTATGGTAACTGTTACTTGCAAATATATTACTTTAGTTTTCTAACACAAGAATGAACTCATACTTGAAACCTGAATTATAATGGGAATGACATTATAATGTCATGTTCTGTTGGGATAACTAGAAAGATACCCTCATTCAGTGATGACGTGTCCATTAGGGCATGTAGAATGCTACCCCTAGATGGTGTTTCAGGTTACCCCAGACTACTCTACTCCTGCCTTCCTCCTTCTTAGAGATGAAGGGGCAGGACACCACCTGTGCTCTCCTTCTACTATGTGTACTTATGAATATGTGCTTTCTTCCAAGTGTGGGTCTCTGGAGACTGTTCTTCTGCACAGAAATACACATTCTTAACCCTATCTCTACTTGCCATCTGCGCCTATTTCCCACTCTGACCCTTCTGCTCAAACAACTGCACTAAATCCAGGCTACTATCATCCCAGTTCTAAAACTCTTTTGAGGCATAATACACTATCATCCCAGTACTAAAACTCTTTTGAGACATAGTATTTCCTGTTTTTGCCATTCTCTTATCTGTTCTTTAAGTCTCAGACTTTTTTTTCATTTAAGAAAGTCCTAAAATGCTAAATCGTAAAGTCTCCCTCCTTCTTTCTTTCTGATGGATTTACAGGTTTTCTATGGCAAAAAGGACCTATATCAGCTACAGGAGGACCCTTTTCCCCACGCTTTACCATTCAGAGGAATCGGTGAGGTATGCGGAAAATCAATTCCAGCTCCTTGATGATGATGTGGTGACTGTCAGCTATCCCAAGTCAGGTTGGTTTTGCAGTGAAATAATGTTCATTCCTGGATTATTTTCACCGCCAGAGTTAATGTTCTTACAGGTCCCCTTTAGATAAAACAGATGGATTACACACTGGCTGAAAAAATATATAGAGAGAAGTATTTAAAATAGGATTTAATGGAGGCTGCTAAGATTTTCTTGGACTGAAAAAGTGACAAATGAAGAAACATTGTAGTCAAGTCATGAGAAAAGGGAAATATAGATTGTCAGCAAACACATGGAATGTAGAAAGCTAGTTAACTTCACTCTTGTCATTGTTCAGCTGATCTTGTAGGTACGATAAATATGAAGTTGGTACTACAGTACTGTTGTGCCAGCCTACTACGTATAGGTCATTTCCCCCTCCAAGTTCATGGTCTAAGGTCCCACAAGGAGTTATTTTGTGTTGTGTCTCTGCCACTCTTTGCAGTCCATCCTCTCTCTGCCTTTCAGCAAAAAGCTCTCGGAACCTAATTAAATGTTTTGGACGCTACCATGTGTGTTTTTCATGTAACGTATATGTCACTTTATATTCAGCCTCTTTGTGTGAGATTCTTCTTTGTGGAATTTTTTAAAAAAGCAGATTCAGTCCTGCTGAATACAGGAAGGGCTCTTGGTTGTCCTGACACTATCATGTTGAACTGCTTGTGGATTTTGGACTCCTGCCCATGTGGTGTCTGATGGGTAGCTCTTAACTGTAGAGGAAGATATTTCCCATATCTTGGATTTCACTTACTGATTTTGCAAGAGACAGGGAGCTATGACTTTATAGTCCAAGGGAAAGGGGAATTAGGCACATGGGGGGGGGTTATGAAACAAGACGCAACCTTGTGACTTCTCATCCCCATCTCAACAGGTACTCACTGGATGCTGGAGATCTTGGGCTTAATCTCACATGATGGAGACCCCTCGTGGGTTCAGAGTGTGCTGACGGGTGAGAGGTCACCATGGATTGAGACTGTCGATGGTCTAAAAGCTGCCTTGAACTATCCTCCACCCAGGTTCCTGACGACTCACCAGCCATTCCAGCTTTTTCCTAAGTCCTTTCTGCATTCCAAATGCAAGGTAAGCAAGAATTAAGTCACTAATCAACACTCACCTTCGGGTCCTGTGGGTTTGTTGATATTGACCTAGGGAATTCTAGGCTGGACAAAGTCCAATTTAAAGTAGATAAAGTATTGTGTAGTTGGCTGGACTGAGGGTTTAATTCTTCACTGTTACTCCTAGAAGAACCAAGTATTGTTACTCTTTTCTCCAGTTTTGCAAGAATGGCCCAGCAGCCTGATAAAGATGTTGGCAAAGGGAAAGATATTAGTAAACTAGGCTTCTGCCACAAGCTACCATGTTTTGAACAGGCACACAGGTATTAGAACTCGATGCAGGGGAAGAATGGGAGGGGCAGATCTACCCCAGATCTCAGTAAACTGGGATTTCAGGGAACTAATTCCCAGAGGGAGGGCTGGTCTCATAATAGGTAGTCCACTCCTATGTTGTTGGAGGGCCGTTCTCCCTGGGCTGAAGAAAACAGGAAGTTAGCTTATTAGCTAACACTATACATAGATATCTAATATAGTTTATAATGATTAGGACTCTTGATTTTGAATTTCCACTCTGCCATGAGAACTCCTGGGGGCAGCGAGTTCAACCATGTCTGAGAACTCTATACTTAAACGTCCCTGGAAAGGGTTCTCCTAGGTTGGAATCAACTGAATGCCATATCATCATCATCATCTGCATCATTATTCATTATGACTACTTTGACTACTGCTACCACCACTACTATTATTACTACACCATTGTGTATTTTAATCTGGGAAAGATGATAAGAGATCTGCCTAATCAAGAAATACTTGGATTTGTTTTCTTTAAAAGTAAGAGCAGTGCAATCACTTGTGTAATAAGGGTTAGAGCTTTTGTGTGTTAGTTCTACTGGGCGGTTTCCTTGCTGTTGCATCACGGTTAATATAGCCCACAATAGTGTGGCACATGGGTGGACGTTGCTTCCTCTCTAAACATAACTTTTTCTCTCCTACAGATTGTCTATATCATGCGAAACCCTAAGGATGTGCTGGTCTCATACTACTACTTTGCAAAGATATATGCAGTACTTGAGGAACCTGGGACCATGGAAGAGTTTGTGGAGATGTTCTTGAATGGGAAGGGTATGGAAAGAGGCAGTTCATTTTTCTTCTGTAATGGGGAAAAAACTCTGAAGAAGAAAACGGCCGGGGTTTCTTTTTCAAGTTGCAAAGAATCTCCTGTTACTTAATTTATCTCTTTTATTTGTTGTCATGACCTTCAGGAGCACAATGTGTTTGCCCCCTTGTGCTTTCAGGAGAGGAAAGGCAGAAATGGGGGACAGAGGTACAGGGTAACAGACGGATGCACAGCAAAAGTGTATGTGTTGTGTATGCATCCATCCATGCATACACTCACACATAGTTAGGCAATTAAGCAATCATATAGAGAAAGGCAGGCTTTCCCTCTCTGTGCCGTCATATGGCAGGAAAAGTTGCATGTCTAATCCCACTGGAAATGGTCACCTTGCCAAGGAGATCTCTTTGAAAGCAACCATTCCATCCATCAATGGAATCCCTCCAGGCTGCTCCCCAAAGTAGTACCTCTACTGTTGGTTCAAAAAGGTCCGCCTTGGACAAAAATTGAGGTCATGTGATAACCAGGAAACAGATTGCACTGAGGTCATGTCACAAGCAGTCCAAAATGTGAGCTGTACGCCATGTGATCATGCCATCAGACTCTGCCTAAACCCACCCCGTTGATTCACTGAACATATAATCTCTCTCCTGAATTAGAAATGTCCTTTCCTGACCCATTTCCCTCTCTATGTCTTTTCAAAGCTGAGCAGTTCACCCTTTCTCCTTCATTCTTTCGTTTTTTCTCTCTTTCCTTCTCAGGCACACTCAGGGCCCAATCAGACTTTACAGTGAACACATAAGTTGACATAGAACGCCTTAAGAGGAAAATAATGTCTGTTTCATTACCCTGAGCTTTTAACAATCCTTGTCATGTTTCATATCTGGTCACTGGGAGATGAGCATGCTGTTGAGGAAATATGCATTTGTTGTTTCATGTGATATGACCATCAAGCAAAGTGTGATGATTTTGAGAGTTCAGAATGAGGGACACACAAGCAGAGCCCTCATCTGCTAACTCTGGTAAGAAGGAAGGAACTAACAAGCTAGTTGTAACAACAACAGCAGCAACAACAACAGCAGCAGCAGCAACAGCAGCAGCAACAGCAATACTAATGTGCCATTAGGTCATTTCCAACAAATGGTGGTTCTTTCCAGGATTCTCGGAAGTGTAGTTCAGTGATAATTGGCTTAGAAGCTTCAGAATAGTTCCCAGTTTAGCAGGATCCCAGACTATTCTTCCAAACTGCATCATATTCAAAATTGGGTTGAACCAATATGCTGTTCTGAGAGCATTGGCTGAAAGGCAGGCTGATGGCTTTCCATCTTTTTCTAAGTTCTACATCTCTATGTTTTGCTGGTTTTAATGCTTTTTCTGATGGAGCTAGTCTATGATTTTATTCTTGTAACTAAATTTCATTTTATCTGTTTTTATTCTTTCAAAATTGTTTAAGCCACCTGGAGAGCCACTTTATAATAGTGACATCAAAATAAACATCAAGAAAAATGCTTCCAAGTATCCAGTGGCTGAAATTCTGTTGTAGTAGGGGCAGAATAAACTTGAGGAATTAACTACACAATTGACCATACAATTGATCTGATGTCTGATTGCACATACTAAACATGAAGCTGAACATGCAACTGCTTTTTGGATCACAGTCACACTTTTGTGCAAATTTCTTCAAGCTTTGAAAACTTCTAAGCAAAACTAGGTGATACCGTTTGTACATCACTAGAAATGGACCCTCCCTCTGGAAGCAAAAAATAAAATAAAATGACTATTCTAACTTGTTTTTGCTTCACCACTGGCAGGTAAACATAGGCCTTGTTTGCAAGTTTATGTGCCCAGGCCCAGAACTTTAAAGAAATTGCTTTCATAGCAAGAAAAAAAAAGGCTCAAACTCAGTTATTTCCTGCCTGCAAGTGGCCCACTGTTTCCCCCTGAATCTGAATATGCACAACCTCTGTCTGGGCAGGAGTTTGATACAGCTCAGGATCAATGCAAACCTCTAGTGTGTGAGATTTGTAATCTTGGTGGCTGAAATGAGGACCCTATCCTGGAGTTCACCCTCCTCTGAATTAGGGAAACTGGACTTCTAGGATATCAGTCTTCATCTGCCCAAATGCCACATTCCTTGCTCAGCTCTTTATAGTTCATTGCATATGTTTTTGTTTTCCAGTGGTTTTTGGTTCCTGGTTTGACCATGTGAAAGGCTGGCTGGAACTGAAGGACAGACCCAATCTCTTCTTCATCACTTATGAAGAGCTGTATCAGGTCTGGTTTGCCCTTTGCCCGTATTCATGTTTCTCCAATTACTTGACCATAAGATGTTTCTACCATTTGGTCTTCCAAAAGTCTAAGACTTTAACATTTCAACCAAAATTCCTCTGTGGCTGCAAGATACCTTTTTCTCTTCCAAGGCAAGATTTTTTTTAAGAAATGAAAGAAATAGAATGGGCAGAGAACCTGTGATCATGTGCAGCCCACCTTTTTTGTGGGCCATATTAGACGGGGTCTGCCCTCCACCCTCACTTTCGGAACAGGATTCAAGGTCTTAGCTCTCTTGAGCTGATTGCCAGGAGTTGGGTTGGCTGAGACATGATGACACAGCGTACTTTGTTAGGCAGAGGTTTTCCAAGGGCTGTGTTGTCCATTTGGCTCGGTTGAACGGCAGATAAAGGAATACTGGGTTTCTCTGAACCACAATTTGAGAGTAGATTCATACCACATTATTTGTGGATGGAATCCTGTAACGTAGAATTCCCTACTCTTAGGCATATCTTATGCTCTTTCTTGAAGTAATTCTAAAAACCTCACTCAACTGCAGATCCTGGGATCCAGCTAAGGTATTTAAACTGGTATCGAACAGGTATAACTGTGTATTTCAGTTTTACTCTAAAGATCAAAAAATCTGTCTAGCTTGATGCAGCATGCAAAATGGAATCAAGTGATTCTTATGAAGGAGCTGATCTTCTCTGCCCCTTGACTTTCTCTGCTGCAGGACCTGCGAGGCAGTGTGGAGAAGATCTGCCACTTCCTTGGCAAGGAACTGGCCAGTCACCAGCTGGATGAAGTGGCGAAATATGCCTCCTTTGAAATCATGAAGGACAACAAGATGTCCAACTTCTCCCTATTACCAGATATGGATCACAGTAAAGGAAAATTCATGAGGAAAGGTAAAAGCATTGCTGAAAAGAGAGGGCACGTGTCTTTTCATCAGAGACAGCCAATCTTACAGTAGTGTTTATTTCTTTAAAATATTTTTATAGTTTCTCCTTAAAGCATTGACCATATTGTTTTTGGTACATTGACCCCACCCCCCTTGTTTATAGTTACTTCTCCCTCTTGTGGTGTTTCAGGGATCTGTGGAGACTGGAAGAACCACCTCACAGTGGCACAGAGTGAACACTTTGACCACGTTTATCAGGAGAAAATGCAGGGTGTGGGTGTGACTTTCCCATGGGATTGAAGAATGACAGATTATGCCCTCTGCTGTTACTGATATGGAGGATATTTTATGCATGAATCTTTTGTGGGACGTATGTCCATCTCCAAGGTTACCAATCAAGAGTATGTGGAGAATGGGATCATGTAGTCTTCACATTCTACATTGCCTACACTTTGGGGTCTTTGTATTAAAGATGAGAAGATGTACCAGGGAATTCTTTCTTCTTTTGATGTGCAGAAATCACAGGGACAAAGTCATGGTGTAATTAGCACAAGGCAACAGTCAATAAAGGAAGCCCGTATCTGCATGTGTGCCTTATACACTAAATTCTAAAGCCCATAGAGTTATGTCACTGTCCTGAGCTAATGTCGGCTTTTGGCTTCTTTGCAGCGGGATCTGGAGGCTATGTTGATTTGGGGGTGCTTTCCTCTGAAGGACAGGGATGAAGAGTCATGACCACAGAGTACAATTTTTTTCATACTTATTTATTTTTTATTAATTAAAGAAAAACAATAATGACAATGATAACATAAAATGTGTGTACAGAAAGCCATTTTTTTCCTCCTTGGCTAATCCTTATCATCACTGTTTGGGTACTGGCTCATAGGAAGATATTAAAAGTCAGATATGGGGAAGGTTTATGGTTAGAGCTCCCATTGCTGCCCTCTGACATTGGGCAGTTCAGGGAGCTTCCCCACTCTGCCTAACAGGAGGGCCGGCCTGTAGAGGATTACTGATCTCAGTATGATGTTACAAGTATTTTGTCATTGCTGCTAAGAACATGTAGGGGGAAAACCTTAGTATTTTGTTTTGTTTCAAGGGCTTTCGGGGGGCTCCGTTTGCGGTTTCTGATATTTTTGGGTTGAGGGGGCTAAAGGTCTTACATTAACCAGAAATTACCCAAATCTTTGTGATTCTTTCATTTTATACTGCCCATTCTTATTTCTGATGCTGGACCCAATTAAGCTCCGAACTACTCCAAAAAAGCAGGGACAGGGAAAAAATAATCTGGTACAAAAATGGTAAAAAAAAAAAAAAGACAAATAAAAATTAATTATCCACAGACTCATGCAGGCACTAACAGTACTTCAAAGTTCACATTTATCATCACACACACGTTCTCCTCATCCTCATCAGTTCATCAGCAGGAAACAGTAAAGGTGAGAAAGAGAAGTCGTCATCACAATCATCAAAATAACGCACACACACACTCATTAAGGAGAATATCATCAAACCCTCCCCAAGCCAAACCCCCACATATAGGGGATGAGGAGATGGTTCTCCCTTCTGCTCCATTGATAGATTCACCAGGAGAAGGCCAGGCAGCCAGGCACATCGACAATGAATGATATGGGAGAAAATATA